GTGACCCCCCCCCGGCCTTCTCAAGTGGCGCTGGGAGGAGAAAGCCAGACGGGCCTCTCTGTTGCACGTGCTCGCTCTGCCCCGACCCCCACCCTCCCCGTGAGCAGAGAGGAACCGCGGGCGCCCGTCTGTGCGAGCGCGTGTGCAAGCGCACGCCCCTCGAGCCCTGCGTGCGTGAGCCGAGGCCCCAGAATCGAACGAGGCCCAGCCCTGGTAGCTGACGCATGCAGTGTTTGCAACCCACGCTCCCGGGAGCGGCGGCGGGAGGCGGGGGGCTAGGACCCTGCACGCGTGTCTAGGAAAAGGGCGACGGACGCTAACGCCATTTCCACGCGGGGGAGCTCCCTGTCGATCTGTCCTTGGCAGGGAGGGGAAGGGGAGCGACCCACGCCGTATCATGCACAGGGACAGCGCCTGCCCACGCTGTGCTCCTCGAACCACGGTCACCCTCCCCCGTTAAACTCTGCCCGGCTGGCGCTCAGGACACAGGCCCTGCCTTGGGCGCACGTGTGAACGCCCAGGGCTCAGGAGAACCAGGGGACGGTCCCTGCCGCGTTCCTGCGCCCTCCCGGCGTGCCGGTGGCGTGTAACCGGCAAGGCCCGAGCGCAGCTCTCCCGGCACGCGCGCCCTGTGACCCCGCAATTACCTTCACGTCCTGCAGGTAGATTTTTACCGTGCTCACTTTCTCGGACTCCTCGCTGAACTCCAGCCTGCTGATGTTCGCGAACGCGGCCAGCGGCGTGATGATGTTGAGCTTGTTGTTGATAATCTGGCTGATTCCATACTTGGCTCCCACCAGCAGGGCGACGTACGACTCCCTGTCCTGCAGCTGCAAAGACGGGCGGGATGGGATCCAGCAAGCTAAGCAGCAGCCTTGGGACGCGGCGGGGGCAGCGCCCGGCTCCTGCGGTCTGGCCTGGCACGTTTCAGTGAGGGGCAGCGGCCGAGCATGCTAGCTGCCATGCTGTGCTGGGGGACCCCCCGCTGCAGGGCTGGCTCTAGCGTTCGGGGATGGGGGCAGGGGAGGGCTGCTGTTCCAACACGCCGTCTTCCAGAGGGCCGACGTCTGGCTCGACTCCTGGGCAAGCTGCAGGGCAGCGCTGGGGGAGATGTTGCAGCCGAGGTGAAGAGGTGGCTTTTGATCTCAGCTGTTAAGAACCATGAGCCATCCTGCCCTGCAGAAGGCCTGCTTTACTCAACAGGAGGCTTGGTCAATTTCAGCATGGCGCTTAAAAAGTGACTCCCCGTGCACGAGGTTGTATCGCGTGGCAACACAACACACACAATGGCCGGCCAGAGAAATCACTGAAACAAAGGCACATACCATGAGGGTGGCATTAAAGATTTTCCCGCTGTACATTTTCAGGTCTCCAAGGATCTGCAGGTAGCTCAGCCGCACGGCAGAGGCCGAGAGGGCGTGCTTGGAATTGAAAGACAAGAAACTTTGCTGAGAAAGTTACAACCCTACCCCTGGGACACGTGGGGTGTGTGGGTAAAAGGTTTCTGATTGGTTCTTTTACACTGCACAAGACTGGGTAGCACTCACTCTCTCGTGCACACACACGCACAGAGGACTGGGTGGTGCTTGTTCTCTCGTGCACACGCACAGAGCACTGGGTGGTGCTCTCTCTCTTGTGCACACACACGCACAGAGCACTGGGTGGTGCTCTCTCTCTTGTGCACACACGCACAAAGGACTGGGTGGCTGTCTGTGCATGTGCGCGCACGAGAGAGAGAGCACCACCCAGTCCTCTGTGCATGTGCACGAGAGAGAGCACCACCCAGTCCTCCCTCTCTCGTGCACACACATGCACAGAGGACTGGGTGGTGCTCTCTCTTGCTGTCTTGTGCACCCCCCATTCTCCATGGCAGCGGTGGAAATCCCCTTCTGGATTTCTGGTCCCCACCTCAGTGCCCTGTCCCACACGCAGGCAGTGCTGGGGAAATGGCTGTGAGCATGCAGAGGTGCAATGCAGCCCCTGGCCCCCCTGAACCCAGCATGCAGCGAGGTGGCCAGGCTGCCAGGAGTCCGGCTGGAGAAGGCTGGTTGGGACATCGTGCTAGGCCCATCTCAGTTCAGTCCCAGTGGGGCTGGGCTCCGTGGCCAGCCTGGCCGGCTTCTGTCCCGCGACCCCGCACCTGTGCTCAGGTTCTACCTTCTGCCTGGGCTCCAGCAAGATCTGGTTCCTCTTCATGTGAAAGCTGATGGCTTTCTTGATGTCTTTGCCTTTCATGTTGCGGAGCAAAGTCGGGGATATGAAGTTTTCTATGCCCCAGTCCTTCCTGCCGTGAAGACAGAGCAGAGAGACGTCGCGGGCTTGTCGCACAAGTTCTCTGGCCTGTGTCACAGAGGCTGCCACGCCAGGCCTCCCCTCCGGACCCAGCCTTTGGGATTCGGTTCAGAAGGTGCAGTTTGCTCTGCTTGAAAGGGTTTTACATTGTGGCGTCTTTTGGGTTAAGTGTTCCTACCCCCCTAAAGTTCTAGGCCAGCTGCTCCAGTGGAGACTGTTTCTAACGTACCAAGTGTTACTTGCTAATTAAGCCAAATAAGGTGTCATGTTGTTGGATTTTGAGGGGAGCAGCCGGTACAAAAGTGGGACAAAGGAGGCCATGTGAGGGGTCAAACAAAAGCTACTTTCTTCTGATTCTGTATCTGCTCTTCACAGATCTGTCTAATGTCTGGGTGTGGAGTTAGGGATCTGTACTCTGTATGGAGACTGGAAGTTTCTCTGTATGGGGTTGAGTAATGGGCCAGGAATGTTTGCCTGTGGACATGCTAGTGAGCAAGTCTCCAGGGAACAATGGATCTCTGGAGGCCAAAGACACACCTGGCCACTGGCCATGTGACTCCAGTCAGCTTGGAAGGAACCAGGAGGGGGTATAAATAGGCCATGTGGCCGACTCCATGTGATGGCCAGATCTGCTCCTGACCCCAGATGCGGCCTCACAGGGATTCACGAGCCAGAAAAACCTGTGAACCCATCCTGGTGTAGGATGTGCACCAAGCACTTTTAAGCCAGCAGCTGTAACATCTCTGCTAGAGCCTGCATCGAGAACTGGGAAATTCGGTGCATGTCATGTATGATTCTTTAACAACCTCACTCTCAAGCTTTTTTTTCTGGTAGTAATAAACCTTTAGATGTTAGATTCTGAAGGATTGGCCCAGTGTGATTTGTGGGTAAGATCCAGAGGGTAAATTGACCAGGGATCTGTGGCTGGTTTCTTGGGACCGGACAGGACTTGTTCGGGGTAGGTGGGATTGGGTGCTAGGACCCCCCACCGGTGTGTGAGGCCCGGGGCCATCTGGGGCACGGATATTGCTGGGGTGTCGGAGGGGTTTTGCTCGTGAGGCTTCAGGCAGGCAGCTGAAGTGCTCGGTGGGACTGGTTGTGGCCTATTTGGGAAGGTCTCCAGTCTGGGGGCTACAGAGAGCCCCGAATTTGAGCAATTTGCCCTGAGCAGACGCCCTCAGCTGTGCCCAGACCCAGCCCGGCCCGTCACACAAGGAGTTGTCTGTAGGGTTGCCAGATAGTTTCACCAAAAATACCAAACACTGCGGGGAAAAAAATTGGTTGGGGGGGGGGGGGGGGGGGGGCCTTCCAGCTAAGAAAAACCGAAAATACCGGATATTTCACGTCTGGTATTTTCTGGGGGTTTTTGCCCGACACATGCCACAAATACTGGGCTGTCCAGTCCAATACCGGACACGTGGCAACCCTAGTTGTCTGATGATGCTTTTGAGTTTTCCTTTATTTGATAGGGTGGGGGGGGTAATTGACTCTCTGTAATAATTTAGGGGCGGAGGTGAACACAGCCCAGCTGGGAAGGCATGGGGCTACAAGGGCCCCTTTGCAATGGTGGTTCTAGCAGCCGGGAGGTGCCGTTCGGCCTGGCGAGGGAAGGCGCCAGAAGCCAGTTCTGGGTTACGCTGCCTGGCAGTGTCTGAGCTAGCAGGGGCAGGTGACTAAGGGTTTGGGTACAGTTTGGTGTCTCCCACGCTCGCCGCTGGGAGTAGCCAATCAGAGCTCTGTACTCTGCCTTCTGATTGGCTACTGTCAATTCCTCTGCCTTGATTGGCTACTGCACGCCGCATGCCTGATGAGCCCAGCCACAGGCAAGCGGCCTTTAGTTAAATAACGTGCAGCACTAAGGGCCGAACCTCTGGCTGTCCTGGGGCGGCAGGGCCGGGTCCCCGCCCACCCGCCGCCTGGCGTTCCTCGCCGCTACGCCAGGCATGAGCCCTGTCGGAGGGAGCCGAGAGCCACGGCTCCCCCCTCCCAGGCAGTGTGCACAGCGGTCTGTGGAATGGGCGCGCAGGAAGGGCCGAACGTGGGCCGCCCGTCTCCCGCCGCCAGGAGCGAGCCAGCTTCCATCCCGCGGGTGCCCGGCAGAGAACCTGCGTGACTTACGCAATGTACTTGAAGGACACTTTCTGCGGCTGGGCACACGCATAAATCCGCTCCTGGATGTGCAGGGCTGCCAGGCGCAGGGCCACGCTGCACTTCATCTCCACGGCAAAGCGCTCCTGGAGCACGTCGCTGCAGCTCTGCAACGCACACGGGCAGCGGGTCACGGCCGCGCCCGGCGCACTCGTCCCCCCTTGGGCCAGGCTCAGCCCTCTGACAGGCAGCTCACCAGTCCAAGCTGCTGGCTGAGGAATCGCTGGGCCACTCAGAGCAAAGCAACGTCCACGCAACCCTTGGCCCCGTGTAGCGAGAGGGATTGCAACGCCCCCCAGCTCAAACGGGAGGCCAGGGTTCAGGACAGGCAATAGCACCAGCGGCTCCGTGCGTACCTGCAAATAAAGGTATTCGAAGGTCACTGGGTCGTCTTGCAGCAGATCCAGCGGGTCCTTAGGGACGAAGCAGACTCTGAAGAGACACCGGTAGTCATGCGCGTCTTTCCTTTGGACCACCTGGAGCGAACAAACACACCCGTGTGGCACGCCCGCCCCGGCTGCAGAAAGCATCCTCTG